TGACGCTGGGGTTTTCGTAGTTTCATTACCGAACGCGGGTGTTTCATGTTGAGGGTCTCTTCAACGTAAACTATGCTCTGCTGCAATCGTTTGGAAAACCTCGCTCTAAATGTCAAGCTTTGAGGATGATTAGAACCGCTATGTTATTTCCTCATTAAAGCACAGAACCAGTCCATTGCTTTGCCCACTTTACACGTACTTCTCTACTTCCGGTATCAACGAGCTGCTTTAAATTTAAATTGAATTACATCTACAGTCTAATTACTAATTGATCTATAAAAAAGATACACTGAAGAAAACAGCTCATTTGATAAGGTTCAACACTGGTTACGGCAGCGCTTTTAGACTTGCTGGAAAGAATAACAAACTACAATGAGTACGAACACGAAAGGCTCAGTCCAGTAACGCATCAGTTTAAAAAATGTCAGCTGCATCGATGAATATGCGTCTACCACTGCAAGCTGGAAGGACACGCGGCTTAGTATCAGGATACGTTAACGGACGAAAGGTAGATGAGAATTAAAGATTACCGGCGAATAGGAGAAACACATCCGCGTCAACCAGTGATTTCAACTTCTCTTTTCTTCAATTGAAAGCCAGTTCCCTGTTCTTCCAATGATGGCACTGCTGTTGGAGAAGGATTTTTAAACTGCAGTGGAAGGAAAGGCGCTTCCTGGTGCTAGTATTCGGTCTCTTCACCTCTAGCTACGATCACTACTAGGACTAGGTTTTACATGTTCCTAAAGCACCTTTCCGTCACGTCCGAATCCTGAGCTTACATTTGGAGCACCGTGTTCTTCAGCTCTGAAGCGTTCCTCATCTCCTGTCAGCAGAACCTCAACAGTATTAGCGATAAATATCTCAAAAACACACTTTGCTAGATGAAAGTCACATGAATGCGTGCATTTACCACACATGAACTGTGTGTTCATGTACGACACAATGATTTGTTAGCATTTTTATACCTAAGGCCTAATTTCTGAACTGTATTGTTGTTTCTCCATGATCCCGCTAGTCAAATGCAGGGCTCCTGCACCATGAATGGAAACTGTGGTCTACGCTATTATTTTGTTTGACCAGCTGAACTATACATGACTCGTGGAATCTCTCGGTGGAACGCCTTTGGACACGGTAAGCTCTACTACCTAAATCTCAAGACGCAACTCACTTGAAAGACATACCCTTTACCAATAATCGACCGCCCAATGTGGGAATTGTTTGGCTCGTTTGAAATGCGCATACTTCTGTGTACACATTAGCCGAGGCTTTTAAACTGGGCTAAAGTACTCATCTCCGTATAAAGCCCTTATGGGCAGAGTGACTGCACACTCTGCTACCTTCTGATGCGGTGGCCTTTAGCCTGCTTGGAGTAACCTTATCTTCTCGCTGCGTTATGTACACTGCTCAATTTTTGTTCTATATATTTCTTGATGATAGAAGCAGTTTCTGGCTGACATTGTCAATGACGCACTTCGACCCAAACAGCATTAGATCCAAATTCATACACAGCTCCAAGGACGCGAAGAGTAAGGTTTAAGTCCACCTCAAAATAATGTGTGCACCTTCCTTTCCAGAACAGCTTCAAACATCTTCTCTGGCAACCGTATCGTTTTCTAATAATAGCGCATCTAAATACGCAGAGGAAGCAGCTTTCACGCAACAAAATACACGCACGCAGATATTTCGTTTGAGACAGAGAACTCCCCAATAAAACTTGAAAATATGTGAAATATCTAGATCGATTAGCCATTCATTGAACATTTTTTTCGATATTTAGCCTAATTAGGGTCATTGTAATTGATTTATTTTCAAGAAAAAATTAATGACATCCTGTGGAGTAATATGGGTCACCATATGAAGCACTAGTTGTTTCGTGCGAAGGAATCAGCGACTCGTTTTTCTATAAAAAGAGCCACATGAAGTTCTATTGCGTAGTATAGTACTGGTTGTAATGCGTCACATAGTGTAACCTTGACGGGTTTCATTTTTTTCGAACGAGCACCAATCATTTACGCGCCACGTTTCAAAGGCAACGTGATCGTATCGAAGCAAGCACAACTGTCATGTCCATCCGTGACTCTGGTATATCTATGGTAATATCTATGTTAAATATGACATTTTGTCCGAATGATGCACAAAGTCATCAAGATTTCTAAGGAGTTGCACCTTGAAGTCACCTAGTTCTTTCAGCTCCTTTTTGTAAAGCTAGGACAACTCTCATCCGGTTCTATATATCTTTTAAATGCAATAGTTCATTTAGCCTTACCTCAGCCTATCTTATATCGCCTTCATATATATATATAAGAGTAAGTTAGTTTTGGTTCGCCTTTGGAAATGTAGCTTCGAGACGGGCAAAGCTGTCTAAAAAAGAAAAAAAAACAAACTAGTTATTTTGTTTCTTTTTTTTTTTATTGTTTAACAAGAATTCGATGAAAGTTGAACTCCCGCTATAGCCCATCCAAAAAACAAATAGGGTAAAGCGAATTGTTTCCAATTCCTAGCGCCTAAAAAAACCTCTCTTCTTTGAAGTCAATGTTTTTTCTTTATTAGAAAAACAGAGCAGTTCATATAACACTTGTCCCGTACAACTCCAGCCAACCATATATATATATGATATGTAAAAACCCACGAAGGATAATGGGATTTTTAAATGAATGGAATAACATATAAAAAAAAAAAGTGAACTATTAACAAGCGCAACTCATTGTGTGGCCATTAGATCTCTATTATCACACTGATAGTATGCCTTTCAAAAGGAAATTCGAATTTACAGCCAGAATAGTGTTGCTTGAGAAAGAAAAAGCAGAAACTTTGTTGTTTCTAAAACAACTGCCTTTCATTTTTTGCACACGCTTCGTAAACGTTTATTGAGGTATCAAAATATTAAAGCCCGTTCCTAGGCCCATAAATATTATATTATATATTTTGAAGTGTGTAATAATAAGGCATGATGGATTTTGCTTCATTTGAAAAAAAAAAGGCATAAGGTTGCTCTATTGATGTTGACGACTATGGTGGCTGGTGCTCAAATACTCAATGTGTTGTTGAATCTAGATACGCAAGCAGATATGCTCTACTTGGTAGAAAAAACAACGTTTCCGCCTAAGAAATAAATAATATTAGCTTTCGTTTTTGAGAAATGACATAACATAAAAATATACGACGTTATTGTAAATACTAAACGAACGGCACCAGACTCATACAAAGCCTTAGATGAATTGCAAAATGTTTACAGCCTTTTCTCTCCTCTGAATAGCCTCACAAGATGTTGTCCTGAATCGTGGACAGGATTTTAAATTTTCAAAAGCCTGTAGATGCGTCTGCTATCAGCTCAGTGGGGGCAAATCGTCGCGGTCGGAATATTAAGGTATGCTTAACTTGAATCGCTCTACAGTGGTCCAAAAAAGTGGAAGAACAGCCATTTCGCATTCGCTGTGAATCTCCTCTAAGCTAGAGTGCAGCACAATACGAAATCAGCATTCCTAAATCAATCCCGTCTCCACAATATCCATCTGCTGGCGTAAACTTACCGTAGAGTTCTTTTTACTTTGGTAAAGTATATCAAAAATAATTCTTACATAGTTGCCAGTCTTCTTGCTTAAAGTTCGAGTGCAGCACTGTGACTCTTTATAACTTAAAATATATATATAAGATTTCCGAAAATCTCAAAAATCTAATAAACTATAAAATAAAAGAGTTCATTTTCAGTTTTGGCTCACCATACGCTATGTCCATAACCAGCTGTGTTCAATTGAGCAAATTTTATTGGAGTAGAAGAATCCTATTCGCTCGTAAGGCGCTCAGTGAAGTTTAGATGGTCTTCAACTTACACCTGTGATGGCGGTAATGTTCGAGTGCAACAAACTTCAAAGAGTTGGTACACGAAGCAAAAAATGATCTCGGTCCTGCTATTGTACAAACATCTGTGCATTCTATCATTGCTCGTTTATGGGCCCTACGTTTAAATGAAGACATTAAAATGGACGTAAGCGTAATGTAATTCTCGACCATTCATAACTTATAATGATGTAATTATCGATGCTATGAAATTACGTTAACAAGAATAGACTGGTAGAGATAAACAGGGTTTACACATGAGCACAGGCGGTTTTTTTGGAAATATTAGCTTATACGAACACTGATTTCTTTGGCGATAGCCGTTCGTTTTAAGCTGGGCTAGAAGGCATGTTTACCTTTGTTTATGACTTAAAATCCGTTAATCAAGCCCCCATCAGTTTAAGGAGAAAAAAGCAAGCTACCCGAGTTGCTTGCTAAGCGGTAAGAACAAAGTCAAAGAGCTACATTTTAATTGTTTCTGTTTCTTTATCTCAATACAAACATTTTGGATCACGATGATTTAGTTAACGAGTAAATAGCGTTAGCACAACGTTATAGTCTTCCTTTTTATCTACATGTCACTGTCAAGTAGCATTTTCTCCATTTTACATAGAAACACACAAATGAGAACCTATATGAGGTGTGTTCTTTCGCTACATTGCTTACTCTTCAGCGAAAATTTTCGAGTTCAATTTTTGCTCGCATAGAACATAATCGATAAGACATTTTAGACAGCAAGTAATAAAAAAAAAAATGCTACACCGTAACGGGGACTGAAAGAGTTGAGTATTTGAAAAGACCTATTTTTGCAAGGTCAGCCGCGAGGTATTAGCTGATGCTTTTTTATTAGTATACACGAAGATTTTTTTTTTTTATCTAAAGAGCGTAAAAATTGCGCCACTAGCTGATAGCTCCAGTATGACGCTATCGTCATACGGGCAGCCGGTTAGCAGTGCACGATAACCCTGAGGAAACAGCTTTCGCGAGAAAATAATTTTTATTCTAGAAAGAACATGAAGCCTATTTACACCTCTAAATTTCTGATAAACAAACAGTACGATACAGGAGAGTGGTGTAAAAAAGCGCAATGTTTTATTAAGAATCCATTACATTGACATAAAAACTCAGCTCGGGAAAACAGTTTACGAATCGAACACCATCAATCTACTCTGACCAAGTAATAATTAATTTGACCAGCACAGAGAGAGAAAAAGCAAGCCATAATGAAATAACATAGCGACAGATTGTGGAATAAAAAAGAACAACTTTCTTGTTCTCCTTATGCACCTGATTGAGGTAGCTGATCTGGGGGTAGCACCGATAAGATGACGCCGACTCTTCTCCGCTGTTGGCTGATCCTCTTTCTCACGTGGGTGCGGTACTTCAATTTCTGCTGCTGTTGCTGCTGTTGGCCTGTGTCCTAGGACTGGCTACTTCCAGTACGCATCCAGAGGATATTCGAGGTAGGTACCATGAGTTAATAGATTGTCCATCTATTTTGTTGGATCATCCGATCAGCTGAGAAGAGAATATAAAGCGAAGGAGCCCAGAGTAAGAGGTGATCTTGTGACAATATGGCAGACTTCAATTACCTATTAGGTATTGATACAAAAGTACTTAATAATATTAAGTCAGCTGATCGGCCATGACAGGGTTTTATGAATAGAGATTTTTTAAGCGATAAATGAATTGGAAAGTATTTGACTTTCGAATTTACGAACAAAAATATATAAGGCTATTATTATAAACTTTTAAAGCTGTAGTGTGAAAAAAACAGTTTGCTCATGACCCAAAATAAAGTTTGACTCGCTATTTGATGTAAGAGATGAAGCCACAAAATGCAATGTCCCTTTCGAAGGTGCTGGGGGTATTAGCAATTCAGTGTTCCCTTATAATAGGCATTTAAAAAATAAGTCTTTTGATGCCTAACAGCGAAGCGGCTTGTCGCTATCCATTAAGAAATATCCTCAATGCTTTTGCTTTCTAATGGCAAGAATATACCTACCGTTCAAATACTACAGCGACAAAATAAGCAAGGCAGAGTTGATGGAGTGGGCAAACGAACCGACATGTCGTCACCTAATGCGCGTTTCACGATTTGCGTCACTTCCACTGCCGGACGCCTGGTTACCATGACTCGGGAGGCGCACCCCGAACCCAACACATCCGGCCTGTTTCAACAGCCTAACCTGAATGTTCCGAGTTTTACGTCTGCCACCATCGTTGGGTGTTCCATCGGTCAGCTGGCTCCCAGCACGAAATGAAGAGCGCGTGTGTGTGCGCGTGTCCGCATTAGAATGTAGACCATAACGTTTCCCTAAGATTAGCAGGCAAATGCGTTACTATGATGAGAACATTTTTGACTCATATTAACAGAGACATAATTGCTCTGCTCGTCCTCGTATTAATGATATATTGCTACCTTGAAGTAATATATCGCCTGATTACTGAACACTTTCATAATTCGTATTTCAAATATCTCTTATTGAAAACTTGTTGTCAATAAGAGGGGTGTTGTCAATATTTGAGGGGTAAAGAATAAAATTGCACGATGAAATCGATCGAATCTGTCTTTGAGTACTAAAATATATGGGAAAAATCATATAAAAGCGTTATGTGTTAAAATAAGCAATTATGTGAAAGCCACCACATCTGACAAAAACTAGTAAATGGTTATATAATGACTTTGGTAATAATATGTCATATTCAAAGTAAAATTACTTAAAAGCATGCATATTGTATAGCCCGAAAGATATGCGTACTTGAAGCCAACTAAGCCCCGCTCTTTTTACCGTCGCGTGGTGAACAAGACCTACACCTTATAGGTTAGAAACCTTTAAAAGTATTCCCTTGTTTAGAGCTACTGGGAAGTGTTAAAGCCTTCGGCCCACCTAGGTGTTCACGAGGGTGTCGCTCATGTCTGTCTGGACAAACATTGAAGATCATTCAATTGAGTACCTCGGTCTATCAAAAAAAGAGGTCAACTTTAAACGAGTTCACCTCTTTTTTTTTTTTTTTTTTTTGTGAAGGACGATAATACACATACCGGATGCAAACATATTGCTAAAAATGACGGGCGACACTAACCGTACACGAACATTTTCGCTACCAATGAGCTTTCATCGTTAGTCCTCTGTAGTTCGGGTTACCTGAATACTAAGAAAATAAACAGACTTTTGAGGCGTACGTACTGTAATTGATACAGTCACAAGTTGCTGGCCTTTGTGCGCATACAGGTACAATGAACGTGTGCTCGCAAATGAGCAATGGCTGTCTGTGTGTATGTAATAAATCAGACTGGTGTTATGCTATCTATCAATCAATTCCATCCTGTATTAATTTCCCTCGACGCTGTATGGACCGCATCGCATGGTCTTCATCTGGATGATGCTTGCTAGAACAAGATAATAATAAATGGATGGATAGGGTCCACTCGATAACGAAGTTGCTGCCTACACGAGGAATTTAATCTATCAAAATGTTATTAATCGACGGCAGAAGCGGCTCCTGATACTACACACTAAACGGCCGCTACAGAAGTGTGTATCCGATGCTAGTATTAGCGCTGTGGTCGCCATCCGCTGCCGCTGCCGAGTGCTGGACAGCATAAACTTATTCTCCCTTCAGGACTCTGCGTAGCGGCTTCATTCGCCTCGGAATGTTCGGAACGGGACGGCTAGCGATCCGTACCCCCTGCTGCCGTATCGAAAATCGTCTAGCGATGTGGTGCTTCAACGAGCCGGTATCACAGAGTCGCATGTTACTTGTCCTCTGAATATATTACACACACACAACTTTTCCAAGGTAGCAACTATCCCGTGTTACTTGGTAATAGTGAACGCAGTGTGGTCAGGCTTTCGTCATTCCAAGGAGCGAAGAAACTAAGGTAGGGAAAAGACGTAGGGAACGTTGCTTCACTAATTCAACCTCCTCATTTCCTATATAACGATTCCTCTTGTCTCACTCGAGGGATGAACTCAACTCAGCTCACAAGAGATTGAGAAGCATGAACGTGGTTTACATTTAGTCTGTTACCTATAAGTATCACTAGCAAACGCCGTCTGTCTTCCACTGAAGGTCCATTTCACTTTGCTTCATGATACTACACTAAAAAGTTAAATTACATCTTCAGCATCGCGCAAAAAGGATGCTCCTGAGAATAACTTTTATGCTTAGTTATCGCAAGACTAGTAGTAGCCGGTTTAATGAGCTCAAAAAATTCCACAATTACGGCTCGGCCTTATTGTTGACGACCCAGAACTTGCACATATCCTTTGTGGACTCCTGTGTTAAATTTAGAGATATTGCATTTTTCCGCAAACTGTTTTTATTCGATGTTATCTGTATAGAGTTGGCAAAACTGAATATATCTTAATTTTATTGATGGGTATCTCTACATTGAAATGAAGCAGATTTAACTATTACAGAATTTTGTTCTTTAGTGCAGATAACTTCCAAGCTTCCCTGTCGTTTGAGAAAACGTTTACTGAGCTAACGGCAATAAGTTGCCGAGAATTTTCATAGAAGCAGTAATGTTATATAGTTTGCTTCGAAAATAGAAGGTTGTGTGGCATTTTCCAGGATATAAAATGTCAGATCGACGCAGTCTTTTGTCATCATAAATGTATAAACGGATTGTCTGTAAGAGTTCATGGTAGTGATGGACAGGCGCCGAGCCTTTACTGGTTCTCTTCCTGGTTTTACTCCTCCTGACAGCTTGAATTATTTTAGAGATTTCAAATTAAACTATCAGACGTTAAAATAACTTTTGGGGTACGATCTCGTATAAAATCGGCTTACAGCTAGCTTTTCGATGCTCCATAAGCGGTACTATATATTTTCTAATAGATTAACACTAATCAGCAAGTGGGCTACTACAATAATTTCCTCTGTAACTTACAACTTATAATTCGACTGTAGCTACTGGCCGGGCTATTATTGAAGTCGCACGCCCAACATATATCGTTGTCATTAGTTGGTTCCATAATCCATTTCTTGTAGCGTGCGCTGCTTACTTACTGGGTAGTTCGCAGTAAAGGTTTTGCTCTCTGTCTTTATACTGTTCATCCAGGCGTTAGAATGGTCTCTTGCATTTGAGATCGTGGTCACTAGTGGCCATGCTTTCCTCCGCGGGTCTCTGTCCACCCGTCGTTCCACTCACCGATGCCCGTGACGTGTCCGAAGAGGCTGAGTTCGCCTCTTGCTAAGCTCGTCAATGATTCACTAGAAGTGGTGACTTGCAGGGAAAGAGTCGAAAAAAGAAGAGCAGATATACAGTACTAATGCACAAGAGATCCACGTTAGTTCGGTATCGTAGCCGCTAAGACTGGGAACCTAAGCCAATGCGTGACGCACGATGGCCGAATGGGGGCTTCGCTTCTGTTGAATAAAGCCGGCTTTTGCTTCTAAATAATAAGAAAAATTTTGCCGTTTGCCTGTTGTTGAGCAATTCTTTCGTGGAGCTTTTATCAATGAAAATACTTAAAATCTTACTCGAGCATTCTCTAAATGACTTGTAAAAATAAGTAGGATTTAGAGGCAACGTTGTCGGTTAAGTTTTTTTCAACAAAACTTATTTATTTAAATTACATATAATATTTGACATGATAGTCTGTACTGGCTTTGTCCCGATTTATTGTATTCGACCAAATATTGCACAATAAGTAAAGTGGCAAGCCAGAGGATAGTCAGTCAGTGCAGGGATTCATCGTGTTTAAAACAGTAAGTTATTGCTAAAATAGCCGGTGCTCGTAATGAGCGTTCGGCCCGCGACGTGTGACTCGAATTATAAAAACAGTGTAAAACTATCTAGTATGTAATAAAATACCGCTGTTTCGCACGAGGAATTAATACTATGCGAGTCCCATGGAAATTCGGGGCATTTTTCAATGTTCAGATAGCAATGGCCATTTAAATCATGCAGTATCGGAAGCCCGTCGTGCTAGCCAAGAAGCTGAAGCAGACGACAAAAATAATGTCATTACTTCGCAGGTTTCCTAAACATATACACTTCATAAGCTCAGAGACTAGGTAGATTTCTGGTTCTAATCTATACCGTCAGTCAAATATGAGTACCCAATGTTTTACGGAAATTATTCTGCGATCTGAAAGTTTAGCGTTGGTGGAGTTTATGAGATTTATTTAAATCTCGTAAACTCTGGCTGGGGGATGAGTTCTATCGTTAAAAACCCGATGCAGAAATTTAGGCGAAATTGGCAAATGAGATTTAAGCAAGCAGATGCGTTTTGACTTTTTCTTGATGAAATTTATAAATTTGCCTCCGTGAACAAACCGTATAGGATCAAACTTACGATATATTTCAGTAAGCGTAAAGTGCTCCAGTGTCTGTCTCATTGTTATCAGGTATGATTGTTGTTCGGAAACAGGAACTGACGTCTGAGCAGAATTAACTCAGAGGACTGTACGTGATACTTTGTCGCCCATCCTTTTTAACGGAAACAAAAACTAAGAAAATCGAAATTCATTGAAGGTTCTGAGACATAGCCGAGGTTCAGTGATTTCTTGAATAATTCATGTACTGACTTTAACTAAAGTCGTTCATGCAAGACATTCCAAGATCCTCGTACTGGGTCGTAAAGACTGGGCTAGAAGGAGTACTGGCCAAATCGATTTGCAAAATAATGTTTTGAGTTTATCCGATTTCGCACAATAACAAATCCGGTAGTATAAACAAGAAATTGGTTGCAAGTTACCTTAAGCAATAATTAGAAAAAAGAGAAACCAACCTGTAACAGCGCCTGAAAAGAAGTGTATAATGTGAATACAGCTTTGATTCTAGCTATAGACTTAAGAGTTTATCGTTATTAATGAAAATACCGCTTAGAAACAGGTATCTAGTTTTAACAGCATTAACAGTGAACGGTAGCTGCCTTAAGCGGCACCACAAAATCACTTAAGTTGTTTGCCAGAGTTTACCAAAAATGCAACCAAAATGATGTAGGATTTCCACATTCTTAAAAGTTTCGTAAATTTTCAAGTAGTCTGGAATCTCGATAGATGGGATCTTGTAGAGGCTGTGGGTCTGATCGCCAAGCACGGCAAAACGCACTGTATCTTTTCATAGTTAATAATATGTAAAATCAAACCAAGTTATTAGCCTTGTCTCGCTTGGTATATATAGTAATTCCTATAGTTATTATTTTTGGGTGCAATAAATTAAGGAAACGTAATTCTTCTTACTGATAAGAAGCCAGGAGAAAACGCTTGCCGCTTACCATATACTATATATACAGCTGAATGCGGGGAAGTTTTTTTCTATATAAAGTACTTTATTCTGAGCTCACGATACATTTTTGTGATGATTCTATCACCTAAACGTCGGTCAAGGAAGGGAATCTGTTCCCTTTTAGTGGCGTAAGTCATCATGGGACTTGATGCTAGAAAAACAGGTGTGCTCAGCAAGCCAGTAATGGTCACTCCGCCGAGTCATCTGAGTCTGTCCAGTAACGGCAACCGCAGCAACATCAGCAGCTATAATAATCATCGTGATGAACAGATGGACAGACATATCCGACAGACACAGGACCAAGGCGACCACAGCAGCAGCAGAAACAGCCGCCAGGCCAGGAGCAGCAGATCGAATCGAACGCCGTCGCTGAGCCGAGACCAGACATCGTCCGGGACAGGCGCTACTGAACGGGTCTCCGCTATCCCTGAGCGGCCAGGACAGCCGGCGAAGAAGAATCAAGACGTGACAGCAGTAGTAGAGGCGGCAGCAGACCAAGGAGTGGGGAAGAGAGCAGGGAGGACCAATAAAAAGAAAGCAGCTCCCATCTGATCATCCAGTCATCCCCCCAACTCCCCTTACTGTCTCGTCCTCTCTTAGGTCCCCTTTCGTAACTCCTCTGCTGGCGCTGCCGCTTCTCATCCTCCCATTCACTAGCCGCGGTGCTTTCTCTGGCAGCGATGCCCCGTGCCGCCACTAGCACCGCCACATCCCACAAGAAAGCTTAGAAGCTCAGAGAATTGGAAGAGAGGGTGGGTACAAAGCCGCACGTCGGCTTTGCCCCGATGTCCCCTCACTTCTCTCCAATTCATCGTTTGGTATCGCTGCCGCTGCCGCCACCGCCCCGCTGCTGCCGCTGCTTCCGCCACCAGCGGCAAAAGTAGCAGCAGCAGCAATAGAAGCACCACGACGACGGCAGCCGGTGCCGCTACAGCTACCGCGGCCGGTTTCTTTCCGCCGGACACCTCTCCCGCACGTCTTCCCAGCCCCCCAAAGCATGCAGCTTGTGGCCCTCTTTACCAAACTGGCTGACTGTGGCTGGATAGTTGCTATGTTGGATCTCCTCTCTTTGCAGCAGCAGCTAAACTGTCTACGATGGAAGAAACATCCATCCCTTCTTTGCCTCGAAGAGCTACCAATCCTCATCCCGGGAGCCACCTCTCGAGTGTGTTGTCTTCTAGACCCTTGCCAAGTGCTGCCGCTGTTATGGTGGTTGCTGAAGCGTCTATTTTTGCCGCTGTTGTTGGCGCTGTTACTGCCTGTCTCCCTTTCCGACTCTTGCAGGCTCGCTGTGACGTCACCCTGCGTCAAAGCAAGGCGACGTCAGTCAGGGTGGGCGGGTATGCTGACGGGGGCAGATGGGACTTCGCCAAAGGGGAACTAGAGAATATAAGGGATGATGAAGGGGAAGGGCGGACCTGGCCGGGTGACGGGTGGGACCAGCCAGTCAGCCGCCATCCTAAATCCAATTTGGGACGCCCACGTTACAGAAGAAGCTTGGAAGGGAGTGAGCGGGCAAACTATCTAGCGAGTTGGTGAACGAGACCACGTCGAGGGCCCGGCCGGACCGACCGATCGACCGACGGAGGTCCCTTTGGGACGAGGATGGGGTGAGGAAGCGGAGGAGGAGGAGGAGGAGGAGGAGGAAGAGGAGGAGATGGAGGAAGAAGGAAGGGCCGATGTCGACAGAGGACGACAAGGCAGCGTGGAGGGAGCAGCACATACTGCGGTGGCAGTGGTGGCAGACGAAGAAGGGAAGAAGGACCGAAGCTGATGGTCGCACCAGGAACACACGCACGTCGGGAAAGATAGAGTAAGAAGGACAAAAAGAACGGGTCCAGAGGCAGACGTCGAAACACGAGCTGACAAGCCAAGAGGCAGGCAGGCGGTAGCGGCATGCCATCACCACTATCGCCACTACAACAATAAAGGACGGCGTCCCGAAACAGGACAGGAACAACACGGCCCACACGAATGGTAGTCGGAAGTTTTTTGCCGTTTAAGGGCCGCATCCGACTTTCTGATAACGGCGCCACTAAACCCAGCTACTCGCTATGGCTCACAATCTCACATCTGTCTGCAGAAACTAGTTTGCGAAGCTCCATTTTGTAGAACAAATATTATAGGTGCACATACGAGAAAAATCTCGGATAGCATTCTCACTCAGTACAAAACGCTATGGCAGTATTTATACTCCCTTCATCAAGAAAATATGCTCGAAAAAAAAAAACAGAAATCGCCCGTATATTATTTGCGGTTACGAGTACCTGTTGTTTTCAAATTGATGCAGCCACTACGCGCTAGCGGCATATCGCGCCTATTTTGTATTGGCTGTCTTGTTGCTCGTGGCCTGACAAAGGTCTCTGAATAGAAATATGAGTAAAATAGAATATTTGCCTATGATTGAAGTTCTTTTAGGGGAGAACATGCACGATTGCCCTTTTAACTTGAAACTTCGGGGTATTATAATGGTATGCGTAAGATTGCATACTGCTTTCTTTCTTGGTCATAATTAATAGTACAAATCAGAAGAAGGTAAGCCTTGAACGTTTTAGTTGCGAGGGCTCTTGGAGCTAAAGGACGCGCCTCGTCCTCAAAATAGAACGCAGGAAAATTACTACCGCTTTTAACGTGTGGATATTCATGTATTCTTTCTGACTTTCCGGAACTAGTTGCCTCGACGATATGTTTTTCCCAACATTTCTGATGACTCCTATTGTGCTGACCTCTGGTAGTATAGAGTGCGGGATCTCTTTCTGTATACGGTAAAAAATAAAACGGCGTCATTATTAGCAAGACTTCGAAAGTGAAAACGCTTTTGGGTAAAATATTAATGGGGTTTTATCGTGCGCGTAGGCCTCATACGATTATAGGTATTAATGGCAGATGATTATCTGTGACGGCTACGAAGCTCTAACGACTGTGAAGTTGATCCTTTGAAATCGAAATTTGCTTAAATAAGCTGACTCCTTAGGTA